AGGGCTCTGCACCAGTTCTTGTTAACGTACCACCAGAATTAACATTTTCAGTCAAGGTGTCATGCAGAAGCGAGACTCCTGCATTTTTCACTGTGAATAAAGTTCACCTTCCTTAAAGTTCCTAAGTGACTTTACAACTTAAGATGTTTAAATCAAGTGTTTGAATAACATGTGCTTTCATTTTAATCAGTGATGTGTTTAAAATTAATATCTTTCCTGTAATGATCCATTTCAGATCTTAACTACACCAGATCAGTATGTGTGGATTTAACTAGTTCATCTATCAGTATACTCATACACATTATAAGATTATTATTCATGTTTAACATTCACTTCGCATAAGTGTTAAGCCATTTCCACTTCACACTGAGAATAAACCACTTAGTCTCGGAGCGAAGGAGTGACATTCTGAGGTGTTTTTAGTAATGCCCTCAAATGTGTGAAATTGTGATTTGCCAAATTTATAAATAAGGCAGGTGATAAAACAGAATTGTTTTCGAAACTAATTTAGTTTCTAGCTGAAGATCACCAAAATCAGTTTTTCTACTGATACAGAAAACTGAATAAGCTTGATTTAAACATTTTAAATAAACCAAACAGTAAAGATGTTTTTTTGTCTTTGTGGATGAGTGACTGTATAATGTCAGAATTAGTATAGGTGTCACTGATTAAGTGTAAATGGACATGGAACATTGTGAAAAAGTATATTTTTGTCTTTTCTGCCTGAAATACATTGATTTCAGGATGAATACTGTACCTCCTTGGAAAATGCAGCAGTAGCTTCAAACTTCAGTGACTTCATAGCCCTACTTCCTGACAGTTGCTGTACATCATTTGACTTTTATAAAGTGAAGAACAACAATTTTACAGAGGTTTATAAACAGGTGTGCTCTTATGGCAGATCTGTGTTAAGGAATGCAATACTGTTTCTTCCACCGACTAGCTTTGGTTATTTAATCTTAACGCCATCTTTGTTAAAACTGTGAAGTAACTCAGTGACAAATTAAGTTTCTTGAATTTGTGTGTAACACTCTTTGGCTGAAGCTCCGTCACGCACAAGATTTTCTCAGGACCCCATTGGACTATTTTGGTGGTTCAACCCCCCGGACAGAAACTCTGAGCCAATAGAATCACTAGCTGTTGAATTATTTTTCGGCTGGCTTTCGTAAACCAATCACAGGACTAGATTCACTGTAAACTAAGGAAATTGAATGAATCCTGCTTGTTACCGCAGCAGTGGCGGGATGCAAGACAGTAATCTCATGCTGATTTGCTAAATAGGAGAAACAATCAGAAAAGAGACAAAAGGGAAAGTTCAAACCTCTTTTGGTGGGACTTTCCCATCACTAGAGATCTAAGAGACACCAGCAGGAGCTTGAAAAGGCTTTTCTGGTTGAATCTGACAGTTGGAGTTGTTGCCCCGCAGTGGAAAGTACCTCAATAAACACAAAGATGCATTAGCCAAAGCCATCAGCTCACCCCAGTGAGATTCCTGCACCAATAAGGTTAATTTAGAGAATTTAGAGACACATATAAGCCAAGTTTCTCAGTGGATGTTTTGAACATTTCCTCTGTGTTCCCTTGATATTTGAACATGTGTAGGGGCATTCTCTTGAACATCAACAAACACACAACAAGTTGAATCAAGAGTTTCTCTTTATTTGTCTTTCCCTGAGCATGTTGTGTTACACTGGGACTTCTGTTGTGGACCCGACTCCAGAGCAGCTGTATCGGGAACTTAAAACCGGTAATCTGCTAAGACGCTGAAAATAATGAGAAAGCTCAGCTCTTGAATCAGGAACAAAATCTAACAGCTTAACAGAGACTGCAGCAAACGTAAACGGAGAACGAATACAACAACCAGCTGGTGAATTCTGCATCAAATTACTAAAAGCAAAACTACAAACAACTGGAAAAAGATGCTGAATGACAGTAAAGTGAAATGATGCAACATTTACATTATATTGCAGGGATCGGGGGAAGAACGCGACACAGATTGGATCATCCTTACAGCCTGTTCAGCTTGGATCCTTGCTGCTTGCTGTCTGAGTTCCTCTGCTTTCTGTTCATTTAATCTGTGCATCATTGCTGCCATCTCCCTTTCCTTCGCCTCCCTTTCTATCCTTCTTTGCTCCTCTAGCTTTTCCAATGCTCTCCTCCTCTCTTCATTTATCCTCTCAATCTCCACCCTCCTCTCCTCCTCTCTCCTCTGTCTCTCCCTCTCTCTCTCAGCCTGAAGCTGCTGATTCAGTTTTTGCCTTTCTATCTCACACTGTTGCTGCACTTTTCTCTCTATTTCTTCTTTTTCTCTGCGTATTTTCTCCTGCTGCTCCTTTAGGATGCGTTGTTTCTCCTCTTCGATCTTCCTCTCAGCCTCCTGGAACATCTCGTTGGTGTAGTGGCTTCCTCCATTCTTCTGAACTATGTTTCTGATCTTCTGCAGCAGCTCGATGACCTGAGGCTTCTTGTCCTTCAGCTTGTTGTTGAAGACGTGATACTGACCGTTGCATCTGGACACGAGTTCCTGTAGGTCTGTGCTGCGAGCCAAGTAACTTTCAACAGTGGTGTCTTCCAGGTTGTCCCCATGAGTGAAGAGAACCATGCTGTATTTGTCTGCAGCATGTCCAAAGATTTCTTGAATCTTTTGCACCGTCTGCTTTTCCTCATCAGTGAATCTGGTCAGAGAGATGACCACCAGGAAGATGTGGGGTCCGGGAGAAGAAAAGGAGATGTACTGACTCAAATCCTTGGTTGTTTTATCTGAGCCAAACCTGGTGTCAAACAGGCCTGGAGTGTCAATGACAGCAACCTGTTGTCTGTCCACCTCGCCTGTGCCTTTAGCACAATCTACAGTCAGAGACGTGGGACTGCACAGGGACTCAAAACATGATCGACCCAGGATGGTGTTTCCAGTGGCGCTTTTCCCGTTTCCAGTCTTTCCCACCAGAACAATCCTCATTTCGCCAGTCAAGGTTTCTCCTGTAAAAAAAAAACAAAGTTTTAATAAAATATGACTGGAATCAGGCTACCAAATGGTAAGCTAAACAATGTTAAATCAAACTTGGCGGTTTGGCTTGCTTTTAGCACCCCCTGGTGTCCATTATTAATTATCTGTGGTTAAACTGAAATTATCTTCTCACTGTGCATTCATCCTTTTAACACCTACTATAAAAGCTAAAATGTCTCCTCAGCCTTCATTAGTATCTACACGAATGTTGCATCACTAAATGAAACAAATCTGCTGCATCCATGGCCTAAAACATGCAGGAAACATGCTGGAAGCAGGCAGTGTCAGGAATGTAAGCTCAATTTTTCTAAATCCACTCTGAAGTTGCAACATTCTGGCCACAGAGAGTGGTAGGGGTCCGAGTGACACTTAACTCACCCTGTAACGGCTCATTTTAGCCCATATTGGCTCAAGAAAATCATTTCAAAATATGAAAAACTTGCATAGTATCCATTTAAAGGGGGAAAATGAAGGGACTTTTGTAAACGAGCTCAAGAACACTAAATCTAATAATCATGAGTTGACTTAATTAGTAAATAAGTAAAATCTGTTTGTTTGTTTTTTTCAAATCAGTTTGTTTATCTTGTTAGAATATCTTTTGTCTTGTTATTTGGTTAGTATTACTGAATGTTTGACAGCTCCTCACAAACAAGATCAGGTTCTTGACCAACTCCCCTGGTTAAATAAAGGTACAATAAGTAAATAAAAGTTTGTCTTTGTAAATTTGTGACTCAGAACCTAGAACATTTAGGAAACACTGATTTCTTTATGATACAAGATGGAGGCTTGGCAAAAAAAATAAATAAAACACATTACTGCAACAATCTTCGAAAACCTGGAATTCCTTCATGTATTTATATTTTTAAAAATGCTAAGGTTTTATTTTTAAAGGACAAGGACATCAGAGATGTGTGCTGACAGGATGTGAGAAGCTGCGGCTTCTCACTTCCTGTCAGCTACAACACACACACACACACAGAGAGAGAGAGAGAGAGAGAGAGACTGTGAGCAATAAAGAGATGTATTTCTAGAATTTAACGTGGTTTCTATAAAAGTAACAAAAGGTGTAGTTTATGATGAAACAGCATGAAATAGTTATCTTTCATCCTAACTTTCTCCTCAGATAGCTTCAGTCTAATCAGTACTGTCTGTTTACTTCTAAAGTAAGTAAGTAAGTAGTAAGTAAAGTTTATTTATATAGCGCCTTTCACAGATATAAATCACAAAGCGCTGTACAACATGAGTAAAATCAGGGCAAATACCTCAAACCAATAAATCCTTCATAAAACCAATAGCAGTGACAACAATAGTAACCAAAATCAGGAGTAAAAACAAAGTCAAGGTGTGAACAAGAACAAAGCCATCTTTTAGAATATTTAGCTGGGGAAAGCCTGGATGAAAAGGTGAGTTTTAAGATGTTTTTTGAAGACCTCTACATATTTCAAGAGACGGAGATTTGAAGGCAGACTGTTCCAAAGTCTGGGGCAATAGACTGAAAGGCCCTGTCCCCTTTGGTTTTTAGTCTGGTTCAAGGAATTGCCAGAAGGTTTTCAGATGTGGATCGGAGGTTCCGTGAAGTGGTGTGTGGGGATAAAAGCTCAGATAAATAGCTTGGAGCCTGGTTGTTAAGAGCTCTATAGGTCAGCACTAAAACTTTAAACTTTGCCATTTATCTGCTACCTCTGGGGTCAATCTTTCGTAAACATGGCCTATCATTCCATCTGTATGCTGACGATTGCCAGATTTACTCTCCATTGTGTCAGGAGAAAGGTCACTCTATTCAGTCCTTTGTCTCCTGTGTTAATGAGGTGAAGTCTTGGCTAATGTCCAACTATCTACATCTGAATGAGGGAAAGACAGAGCTCATTGTTTTTCACCCCAACAGCAGGAATGTGGAACGTTATGCTGATCTTGGCCCTCTTTCTCCATACTCAAAACCAGTTGTTACCAGTTTGGGGGTGAAACTTGATGTAGGACTTAAATTTGATGCTCACATCAATTCTGTGATCCGGTCCAGTTTCTTTCACCTGAGACGCCTTGCTAAAATCAAGCATATGCTGTCGAGAGCCCACCTGGAGCGGGTACTGCATGCCTTTGTAATTTCTCGGCTTGACTACTGCAACTCTCTCTACGCAGGGTTGTGTCAGTCAACACTGCGTCGCCTACAGGTTGTGCAGAACAGCGCTGCCAGGTTCCTGACTGGGACCAGGAAACGGGACCACATCAGTCCAGTTCTGGCCTCCCTGCACTGGCTTCCGATTTCCTATCGCTCACAATTTAAAATACTCGTCTTTGTTTATCATTTCTTCCAGGGTGGTGCTCCCCCCTATCTGGCCACACTCCTGAACAAACATTCCCCATCACGCGCTCTGCGCTCCTCTGACCAAGGCCTGCTCGCTGTCCCTCGGTCTAGGTGTCGTACCCGTGGGGACCGGGCTTTCTCAGTCCTAGCACCGTTACTCTGGAACCAGTTGCCACTCTCAGTTAGGCTGTCCCCTTCTCTGCCAGTCTTTAAGAATCACCTAAAAACACACCTCCTCTGCTTGGCGTTTCCAGAACATGTTTGATTATGGCCCTCTATTATGTTGAATCCATTCCACAGTTTTCATTGGTACACTCAATCCATCCACTCAATCCAATTGTGTTTCACACATTTGTATTTTACCGGAATGTTTCATCTATCTTGTTATTTCCATTTTGTATTTTGTAATTTGTATTTTGTAATTTGAATTTCTTTTATTGTTGATTTATTCTGTATAATTACTTACAACTGTACCATGTTCAGCGCTTTGGGCTTCCTGACAGGGTTGCGGAAGGCGCTTTATAAATAAAGCTTTGATTGATTGATTGATTGAAACTGTATTCTAAATTCTACCGGGAGCCAGTGGAGGGACTGTAAAACTGGGGTGATGTGAGCTCGTCTGCTGGATTTGGTTAGGAGTCTGGCTGCTGCATTTTGGGTGGCTTGAAGGCGTGAGAGGGAGGTTTTGCTGAGACCAGTAAAAAGAGCGTTGCAATAGTCTAAGTGTGATGACACAAAGGCATGGATGATTTTTTCCAGATCTGCAGTAGAAACCAGTTTACGGACTTTTGAAATGTTTCTCAGTTGGAAGAAACAAGAGTGGGAGATGGTTTTGACGTGTGAGTCTAAACTCAAAGCTGGATCAAAAATAACTCCTAGGTTTCTAATGTTGGCCTTGGCTGATGGGCAAAAGGAGGCAATTTCCTGCTCGATTTTTGGTTGAAGTTCCGGGGGTGCAGCGATCAGGGTCTCTGTCTTGTTGGCGTTGAGAACAAGAAAGTTGCTGGACAGCCAGTTACTGATCTGGGTCAGGCACAGTACAAGGGTGGCCAGCCTGTCCAACTGGTGTGGCATGAAGGACATGTAGAGCTGTATATCGTCAGCGTAGATGTGGTAGGAGATGTCTGGGAAAGACTGAATGATGCCAGCTAGAGGAAGAATATAGAATGCGAATAGTAGAGGCCCTACAACTGAACCTTGTGGAACCCCGCATGTTAGAGAGGCAGTGTCTGAAGAGAAGGTTTCTGACTTCACTGTGAATGTTCTGTTTGTGAGATAGGAAGAGAGCCAGCCTAGAGCAGAACCTGAAATCCCAGCCAGGGCATTTAACCTGTTTAGTAGTACGTTGTGGTCTACAGTGTCAAAAGCTGCACTGAGGTCAAGCAGGACCATGACAAAGCATTTCCCAGCATCAGCAGCCATCAGGAGGTCATTATGTGAGACTTGTTGGCGATGGAGCGTGCGTTAATTAACGTCATTTTCGCAGAGAAATCTGGCGATGTGTATACCGCGGGCTCCATAATGGCGGTCGGCTGGCGGGCTAAGCTACGTAGCGACTCCAGGCTACGCCCGCGGGGGTTCTTTACCTTTAGGTAGCGTCCTGCATCAGGGGCACCATTTAGCAGCGAGATCAGCCCAACTCCGTTGAGTTTCTGTTGGATCCGCCACAACACAGCCGCGGAGCAGCGATCGGGAAGAGCTTCGCCTCTCAGGATCTTTCGGAGCTGAACGAAGAAGCCAGCTCTCTTCCCCCGTTTCCTCTTCCATGGTCTCCAGGGCAGCGGCAGGCCCACAGGTACAAAGGGCCGACACCTGGGTTAACGCCAGGTTCCAGAGGCGATGGGAAAGCGGGTCCGGTATCGGAGTTCTGGAGGTTGATCATCGCGGACCTGATCGACAATAGTAAGTCTCGATCATATGTTAGCAGGGAATCCGCACCAGATAGAGAAAAAACAATAAAAAACAACAAATAACCAAAACCGATCAGGAGCCTAGCAGACGCACAGCCACTCATGGGCGCCATCTTGCCATTCTCCAAGGTCACCCTTAACACTTCTAATTAGAAGTATCAGATGTGATAAACTATTGAATGGGCTTTCATACAGCAGCATGGTTAGAATGAATGAATCAATAAATAATAAGAAAGAAACAGAGTTAATTTCAGGTGTATTTATTCTTGTTTAGTCCGTAGGTTATGCTATTTGTCTACGTGGATGGGGCAGCGCTTAAGACTCCTACTGCAGCCAGCCACTGGGAGAGCTGTTTGGCCTCAGTTCACATTAGTGTGTCTGATTAATTTTAATAGATAAATATACTTCATACAAATACATAAATTTACATCCTTACATTTCTCATAAATGTCTGTAGTACGTGCACTATAGCACAAGTTCTCACTTACCAACACTGTAATGGTTGAACTGGAGTCCATTCATGATGATAATGGAGAGATGAGAAGCTGCAGTAGAGTCAGCGGCTAGTCTGCTGCGCCAGCCTTTATGTAGTCTCACACACACACACACACACACACACACACACACACACACACACACACACACAGTGTGATAATGAAAGTGAAACGTAGTCACACACACACACACACACACACACACACACACACACACACACACACACACACACACACACACACACACACACACACACACACACACACACACACACACTAACTCAGCTCAGTGTGATAATGAAAGTGCAACTCATTCTCCAACATTTACAGGAAACACGTGTAACAAAAATACAGGCGGGGGTTTCTAAAGATCCTATTCTGGAATTTTCCATTACTGTAGTTCTTCCTGTGACTGAATTCCATTTTTATGGGAAAATCCAAGTTCTAAATATTACATCTATGTTTATGTTGTTTATGTTTATGTATTTAGCAGACGCTTTTGTCCAAATCGACTTACAAGTGATAATCGGCATATTGCCCTTGAGGCTAACAACAGCAAAAACAACTTGACATCAGTCATGGAGCGTAGGGAACAAGGAGTGGACAGTAGAGAGGGGGGATGGGTGCAGGGAGGGTGCTAGTTAAGAAGATGCTCTCTGAAGAGCAGGGTCTTCAGGAGTTTCTTGAAAATTGAAAAGGAAGCTCCTGTTCTGGTAGTGCTTGGAAGGTCATTCCACATTTGTGGAATAATGCATGAAAAGAGTCTGGGTTGTCCTGAGCGTGATGTAGGCACTGCTAGCCGACGATCCTGTGATGACCGGAGCGGCCGGGCCGAGACGTAAGCCTTTGCAAGAGGATTCAGGTAGATGGGAGCCGTACCATCTCGGACTTTGTATGCTAGTGTTAGCAATTTGAATTTGATGCGTGCTGCTAGCGGTAGCCAGTGGAGCTCAATGAACAGAGGGGTGACGTGTGCTCTTTTTGGCTGATTGAAGACCAGACGCGCCGCTGCGTTCTGGATCATTTGAAGAGGTCTCACAGTACAGGCTGGAAGACCAGTTAGAAGGGCATTGCAGTAATCGAGGCGGGAGATGACAGTAGATTGCACCAGGAGCTGGGTGGCATGTTGTGTTAGCTATGGTCTGATCTTTCGTATGTTATACAGTGCAAAACGGCATGAACGAGCAACAGAGGCAACATGATCTTTAAAGGTCAGGTGGTCATCAATCACAACACCCAGATTTCGAACTGCCTTTGAAGGAGCCAGAGATAGGAAGTCATTTTGGATAGAGATATTGTGCTGTATGGATGGTTTTGCTGGGATGACAAGTAGTTCAGTTTTAGAGAGATTGAGTTGGAGATGGTGGGATTTCATCCATTTTGATATGTCAGAGAGACAGTCTGATATTCGTGCAGAGACAGTGTGGTCGTCCGGTGGAAATGACAGATAGAGCTGGGTGTCGTCTGCATAGCAGTGGTAGGAGAAGCCATGTGATCGAATGTTCTCACCCAGTGAGGTGGTGTATATGGCAAAGAGTAGTGGTCCTAGTACAGAGCCCTGGGGGACTCCTGTGGCAAGATGGTGCACGGTAGAGGATTGTCCAAGCCAAGACACACTGAATGATTGTCCTGTGAGGTACGATTCAAACCAGGCGTGTGCTTTCTCTGTGATGCCCATGCTAGAGAGTGTGGACAAAAGGAAGCCATGGTTGACAGTGTCAAATGCAGCCGATAAGTCGAGCAGGATAAGCACTGAGGATTTGCCTGTCGCTCTAGCTTATTTTAAGGATTCAGTCACTGCTAACAGAGCAGTTTCAGTGGAGTGGCCCTTTTTGAACCCAGATTGGTAAGGGTCAAGCAGACAGTTTTGTGAGAGGTATTCTGTGATCTGCTTGAAAGCCACCCTTTCAATGATTTTGGACAGAAAAGGGAGGAGAGAGATAGGTCGGTAGTTCTCCACATGATTTGGAGGAACAGATGGTTTTTTTTTAGCAGTGGTTTAACCAGAGCATGCTTGAGAGAGGTGGGAAATGTACCGGATGTCAGTGATGCGTTGATCACATGTGTAACTGCTGCGGCTACTGTAGGAGCAATAGCTTGGAGCAGCTTAGTCAGAATGGGGTCAAGTGGGCATGTAGTAGGGCGGCTGCACGTGAGAAGCTTGGACACACAGTTCTCACTGACAGGGAAAAAGAGGAAAATGAAGCAGTAGGGCCTAAGATGGTTGGGCTAGAAGGAGTTTGTGGTAGCGAATGTTCAGGAGTGGCCAGTTGAGTAAACTGTTTGCTTATAGCTGCCACTTTGTCAGTGAAAAATGAGGCAAAGGTGTCAGCATCTTTAGGGTGAGGTAATCCAACTGGGATCTGATGAAGGATTTGAAGTAGCCTGAGATAATAACACAAGCAGACTTCTTACAGGATTGATTTCTGATTACCCTTGAGTATTCTCATTGTATTATTTTTCATTTGACTGAATACATGAAATCTGCTTATGACCTGCTGCCTCCAGAAAATCTCTTTGATCCCGATTGAGTTTTTATACCAAAAAAAAAATATTTCAGGATTGAGTCAAGGCCCAGGAGAGTAAAATTTCCTAATTTCATGACAGCGTATTAGAACATTTTAATGCACCCTACAGTAATGTGTTTTCATTCTCTGTAGATGAGTAACTGTATGAAGTCCCATGCTGCTCCCCCCAGGGAAAATACTCTAAACGCTTCTGTGTCAGATGACTGTTTTTATTAGTGATTTCTAGGACAGGCAGTTTTCTCTTATCTTGATTTTGCTGGACAGGAACGCAGTGACAAAGATGCATTCTTCTGTCACTAACTTTTAATACTCATTTGAGCGTGTCATCTTATTAACCTTTGTCTTTCCCCCCATTATTTATTTATTTATTGCTGCTTTTCTTAAACTGAAGCAAGTTGTGTGCAGATAACATTCTTAGTTGTCTTTTTCAAAACATTCTGATGAGGCCTTCGGTTTCATCACTTTGTATGTTTTCCCGGCAACTCCCACTTAAGTGAGTCTGTAACCTCTTTGTGCTGGGAGCACCCGAGGATGGCCCAGATGGAAGCTGAGAAAATGTATGTGATCTTCTCCCCTTGTCCTGTTACCTCCATGACCCCAGCTTAGATAAGTGGAAGTAACCAATTGTTAGTTCACCCTCTTCTTTGACCATGCAACTCTGCAATCCTCATCTGCAGATCAGACAATCTTCTTCTGAAATAGTTTTGAAATACTTGCTAAAAACGTATTTTCATTTGCTGGATTTTGAAGTTATGTGAGGCTGACACTGTTGTTGTTATTTTTTATTGTATTTGTTTTTTTTTTATTGCTTTTTAGATGGTACCATTTGTGGTTTTACAACTGTGAAGAACTTTGGTTGATCCAGTGCTACATAAATAATGGTTGATATGGTATTGTATGGCATGGTATGAATAGCAGTGAATCTATCTGCAGGGTTTGGGACGGGGCAAAGCGGGTCTTCGTGCACTGGCATGTACGGGTATGGGTCTGCAATTTCAGGAGAATCTTTCTATTGCAGTTTGGGCTCTCGTGTTGGCAGTTGCAGTGACTGAGTCCAGGCCTGCCTGCCTCGGTCTGCCAGTCTGCGGCTATAACCAGCACGTCTTAGCACCTCCATGTCTTCTCCTATTTCCACTCCGGCTGTTTCTCTGTTCTTAAATCTTCTATATTGGCCTTTAGTTTCTTCAGCTTGACCCAACTCCATTCCAAAGCCCCGTTGAATCCTTCGGCTACCATTCGCTGTGAAAATTCTTGAAAAACTTGCATTTTTTTACCAATCCGCCTAGCTCGTCCTGAGTGTGGACTCTCGATGATAGTGAGGAATGTGTGGAGCTCTGAAGCTGACCAAAATTTGCAGCTACTGGCGGACAGTTTCTCACATTTATGTACAATAACAAGAAATACTGTTGCAAAAAACGGGACTACAAGGCTTATTTTGCTTGTTGCAAGTAGTGATGTATTTTTATATGTATCTTTATATTCAGTGGCGGACTGAAACATCTAAGGTGTACAACAGCTGTTGTAGGATGACGAAGGAGA